TGATCACTGTATACAGAAGAAAATAAATAAAAGTTTAAATACAAGTAGAAAGAAGAATTATTTTGGCTAGTTGTGACTAAAGAAGAATTAATGAATCTTCTTTATAACTGTGATCAGTCTTCTACCAGCATCTCATGTGCTGAGACGTACAAAGAAGGTAAACCTTTGAAGTATACCAGTGTACCAGAGATTAACAGTTAGTGATGAAGCTGCTATCTTTAGTCAAAACTAAACCCAAAGTTACTTATTGATAGTAACAACATTTTATTCCTTTCTAGTTTTTGCCCGCGACTTCGTCCGATTAATTTTGTAGTTAGTAATATATGAATAGCTGACCGGCCGAACTATATTCCGTCCTAGAGGCCATAAATAACCAAATATTGGAATTAAATATCCTATGTCCTTTCTATGTTCTAATCTATTTCTCCACCAATCTTCATCCATATCCGTACAGTCGTTCTTAAGTTATAAATAGTGTAACTAATATTACTTTCTTTTATATATAAAGATTATATTGATCTCAAATCAAGTGAAGGAACAGAAGTCGGTTTGAGTAGAGAAATAAAACGTTTTTATTTTTTTGTTTTACAACAATTTGGTTGTATATATTTAATAAACAGATTGTGTCTTAAAACATTATCTATCTGCTAATTAGTGTAACCTCATAATAGGTTCAGTCATGTCCGAAAAACATTTCCAATTATCCTTTATTAACATTTTTACCCTTGTTAGTCTCTTTCGCTAAACATATAATAAAATTTTCTGATTTAATATAAGGTATATCAATATATGTATAAAAGAACAATTCAATAAAAAAGACCTAAAGTTATTCTTTTTATATATATACAAGCTGACCCGGCAAATATATATTATAATAATATTTATATGTTTTTAAATGAAATGTAAATTAAGTATTTGTAAGGGAATTTATGAAAATATTTGTTTATCTTCTATCTTATTTGTTATTGGGTTTAGGATGTCGGAACTACGTGTATACAGACATACAAATATTATGAGGAATTTAGATAGACAAGTCTGTGGTGGTCTAGTGGTTAAAAGGCCCGCCTCTCACGCATGAGGGCGCGGGTTCGATACTGGCCCGGGCAAGTACCAATGTGATTTTTCCGAGTCATATGTACTTTCTAAGAGTATTTAGACATCACTGATTAATGCATTCCCAAAGGGGGTTGATGTCAGGCAGGCAGCCGGTCGTAAAAACAATTTGTCAAAACTATTCAAACATGTAAGGCAGACCCTGGCTAAGCTGGGAAATTTCCAGGTAGAAGAAGAAGTCTGGATAGACAACGTTTATTAAAGAACTATAACAAACACACATACACCCAAGACTACATGATTGACCCGATGTTAGGATAGCAATACCATTCCATAGCTTGTGTGGTATCAGGAATCTTCTGGTTCACACGGCTTGGTGTTCGTTCCGCGGAGTCAGCGGCGTCACTCGTTATATATTTAATCCATACAACGATGTCGCCCGGCGATGTTCATTTATTTCTTCATATGTAACGCGTACGTAACAATTCTCTATAATATTAGAAACACTACAATTTTGTCTACAACTATCATTTGTGTAATGTAGGACGTAGGTTATAAAAGGTATGTTAAGTCTACTTTCCAATACTCCAGTCTCTGTCTACTTAGGATAAGACCCAGTCCTTCATCAGATGATCATCAAAGGTATATTGGACCGACGAACGTATTTGTTATATAAAATGGACAAATAAGTTATAAAATTACCTCAAAAACAACAATTTACGTGACATATATTCCATAAAGTCCTTTTTTTACATTCAATTAAATATTTATTTAGTTTATGAGTTTTCCAGTACATATCAAACACAAAGACAAACATACAATTAAACTGAACTCAGAAACAAAAGGTTCAGTTGAAGTGACAGTTAAGTGTTGTGAGCAGCGAGTTATTGAAGACTTTCCTTACCAGGAGACATGGGTGAGTTATAGAAATCTAATGACATGATGATGCTTTCAAGGTTTGATGAGAGGAGTAGGGTGATGAGGCTTGTATATAGCTCCGTAACAGCAGTACGGCGTGAGAAATGTAGGTGTCTACATAGTTGTAGGGTCCCTGGTCCTACATGCAAGTATAACTGGTCACTGTCTCACTACTACCGAGCCTAGAGCGACGCACGTCCCCGTTCTGCTCCGCGCTAGATATTAGACTGCCGAGCGCATGCCGCCCTCTCCAGTGGGGTACGTGAGACAGTGTATTATATATATTGTATAGACACATACACTACAATAGTGATGGACTAGGTGAGTAGTTGGTTAGTGTGTTATGAAATATAACTATCGTCCTGGCTCCTGGCTGATGAAGGATACTATATTTGTGTACCGTAAAGTTTTATAGGAATAGTTTTCATAAAAACTACTCTTAAAAACTATTAGTAAGTTTTAGTAAGGTTATATCGTGTTTCCAAGAGAACTTTTCAAAAGTCTGGGATATAAACTATCCTATGTTCTTTCTCAAGGTCAACTCTATATCTGTACCAAATTTCATTAAAATCAGTTCAGTGGGTTAGGCGTGAAACCGTAACAGACAGACAGACAGAGTTACTTTCGCATTTATAATATTAACTAGCTTTCCGCCCGCAGCTTCGCCGCGTGGAGTTCGGTTATATCGCGTTTCCAAGAGAACCTTTCAAAAGTCTGGGATAAAAACTATCCTATGTTCTTTCTCAAGGTCAACTCTATCTCTGTACCGAATTTCATTAAAATCAGTTCAGTGGTTTAGGCGTGAAAGCGTAGCAGACAGACAGACAGACAGACAGACAGACAGAGTTACTTTCGCATTTATAATATTAGTAGGGATAGGGATAATAAAAATATATTTTTTATAGCTCTCCCTAGTAGAAAGTCTAGTAGAATCCCTAGTCTAGTAGAACGTTCACGTCGACTGTTGAAGCTAACTTCCTGAAGTATAATATGTTTTTAAACAATACATAATATGTACATACATTAGTTTTTGTCTCATCCTTTACAAGAAAATGTCTTTACATCAATCTTTTTTTAAATATATTCAATAAGTCGAATAGTAAAAGTAATATTAATAATAATAATTGCATGTAAATGTATCAATAATAAGTTAATATTCTCAGTTTTTAATCAACTCACCCACCCAGGGAGGCCGTACAGGCTTCTGAATTGAACTCACACTACTTCAGCGACCTCATATTTGCTTTTGACTTTAATGAACACTGTTTGCCCGACTGCTTCAAAAGAGTGTTATGTTTTCTGTTTCTTTATTTTCCATTTTCTGTTCAAACTGTTATTTAATTCGTACATACGTTTCATATTCTCTAGTGCCATTAATGGGATTATAATTTATTTTCCTGTTTGAAATCTATTGAGGATTTTCATATGAGGTTTGGATATTTCTTTTTTCTAACTAGTACTATGTATATTTTTAAGACTTTATTTAATATAAATCTATAAATAGGAAATGCACGTTTTTTATTATGTTTTCGCTTCGCTGGAAGAAAAACTCCCTGCGAGTTAGGTGAAGCGACCTAAGCGTTTCAATAAAAAACGATTTTTATGACATGGGTTTCGTTTTTCGGCCCAAAAATTTAAATTTGTGGTCCCATATTATTATTTTCTTATTAAAACCATTAAAGAAAACAGGGATATAGAACAAAACAACCTCGTTTCGATCGTACATTCGATCACCAAAATCATCTTCACGCAATAATAATTATAACACGAAGCTTTTAATTTTTATTTTAATCAAGCATTACCTTATTATCATGTTCTCAAACGATTTTAAATATTGCATTCATTAAAAATCCCTACTAATATTATAAATGCGAAAGTAAGTCTGTCTGTCGGTTACGCTTTCACGCCTAAACCACTGAACTGATTTTAATGAAATTTGGTACAAAGATAGAGTTGACCTTGAGAAAGAACAGGATAGTTTTTATCCCAGACTTTTGAAAGGTTCTCTTGGAAACGCGATATAACCGAACTCCACGCGGGCGAAGCTGCGGGCAGACAGCTAGTGAATAATACAAATCTTTATTACATTCGACAAACTCCTTATTGTTTTCTCCACACAGTACTCAAGATTATAATTAGTCCAACAAATAAAAACGTTGAAATTAGCAAAATATTTAACAATTCCAGTGTGAAAGAAGCCTAACCATTAAAAAAAACATATCAAATGTATATAAAAATTAGTCTTTTCATACTTTATATGAAGAACCCTTTTCTTAGATCATTTGAAAGATATTGAGAAGCTCTTTTAATCACTTAGTAAGTATTTTTCATGTTTTGTATAGAATTTTTTTTTCATACAAACAGATGGTAAGCCAAAATCATTGCAATATCGTGAGTGATCTTGTATATATAAATTTACAAAACTACACATATTCTCCAGCTTTGCTCGCAATTATATTCTTCAATTAAATATATAGTAACCAACAAACATCAATCGATACTGGAGATGATATTAATATTTCAAGCTCCTATCTGTGGTCAAGTTACTACATCTCGAACATGGTCTGTCTCGACCGTAAGTACCACCCTCTCACAGAAGATCGGCGTGAAGTAGTCTTTAATGGATGCGTTTTGTATGATGAGTGAGAGAGACGGTTGCTCTTTCTCTTTCCCACTCTTTCCTTCTTCCTTAGCAATCAAGGTTGGCAACGCATCCGCAATATCCCTTATGTAGCAGATGTCTATAGGTGAATGTGACTATACCTTCCATTAGGTAATCTACTGCTTTGCCACTTTTGATATATCTGCTTCTTAGTGGCTTTGTAATTGTGACTTCAGAGTTTCTGGGTAAGCTGCTTCCATCAGGTAAATTTAATCGCTTGATGAAGTGCGATCCTGGTAGGTATTTCCAGGTGTTCTTGAATTTGGCTGACCTTTTGAAATTTCAGCCTATAGGTCGTTTACCGCCCATTCTTCCAGTCACTATCAATGTACATCAGAATGAAGAATGACATCTTGATATCTTGCTAATGATGGTCCATCTTTCAGACGAGGACTGCGAGGACAGTTCATCTCACGTGTGGCTCCCTGGTGCCAGATATAGACCAGAACCTCCTGAAACATTGGCCAGAGCATCACACTTCACTCCTCACGAGATAAAGCTCATGTACAGAGGCTTCAAACAGGTAAATACTCTTATATAGCCTTATCATTTAATATGTTCATTTAAATACAAATCAATCGATATTATTATAAAACTGTTAAATAATTCAAATTCTTTTTAATTATATAATTGATCCAAAGAAAACAATCTTGTGATGATTGGTAATCTTCTATATATATAAAAATGGATTGCTGTTCCTTAGTCTCGCTAAAACTCGAGAACAGTTGAACGGATTTATCTTATCTTAGTCTTGAAATGTTCGTGGAGGTTCAGGGAAGGTATAAAAGCTGAAAAAAAATAATTAATTTCCGGGAAAACCCTAAAAACAGCGCTTTTCTATTTCCCATACAAACATTTTTTTTGACATTAGATTTGACAATTAACTAATATGTCAATCATTCTGTCGCACTTCAAAACACGAAGATTTATGGCTTAAAGGTAAACTCCAAAAAAATAATTTATTTCTTGATTGAGGCAGTACGAAGTCTGCCGCGTCAGTTAGTGTTTAATATATCAAGTGTGATCAATTGTTAACTATATAATATTTGTAATACTATTGTCATTTCTGTTGGTGATACTATAAAAGAAATAAGTCCTAAAGATAGCAATATATTATGCCGACTTAATTCTGCCGATAGCTTAATCAGAATCCATTGGTATTTTGGATGGAATTGATGAGAAGACCAGGTAGTTGAATAAAAAGGAAAAGACTAGACCATTACATATAGTAGAAGAAATCCATTATTACTATAGTGAACCAGCCATGACTAGATTAATTTATTTATTTATTTATTCATTCATTCATTCATTCATTCATTCATTCATTTTTTTAACAACAAGCACACTTACAACATACATATTGAATATTTACAGATAAAACATCAGATATGTACGTCAATGACAAGTATACATAACATTTAGTAAATATAAACAGTGCACAAATAAAAAGTTTACATACTAATTTAAAGATAAAATGAAAATATTACGTAAAAATCACAGAATATAAAAAAAACTAGATCACTCATTCATTTTATATACACTCAAACTGTTGTCACTCTATCATTCAAAACAACACTATGAAAACACACTCATCATTTTTATGATGTGTTCAAATACTCTAAAGATGAATATCACCTAAACTTCTCCTTAAGTGTTAGTAGTTATGCTCGTCTGAAACGGCTTTATTTATATATATATATATGTGTTATTATTAGATGTAAAAATTGGTCGAAATATATTTTTCTATGACGGTGGAACATTAATAATTTCTATCTGAAGTATTTATAGTATACACAGACGAATGAAAGTCTAAAATCAGTGATATCAGTAAGGTCACGATGGTAAAATGATTAAATAAATGAAATCTTATCCTGGAAGTCACTGGTTCTTATCCTAGTTGTGACAAGTTGTTGCACATATTGAATGACGTTTTAAAGTACTCTTCTTCTTGTCAATTTCCCAGCTTTAGCCAGTATCTGCCTTACATGTTGTGAATAGTTTTGGCTAATAGTTATTACGACCGTCCGCCTGCCTGACATCAACCCTCTTTGGGAATGCATTGATAAATTAATGACGTTTTAAAGTACTATAAGTATAATATTTCTAGAACAATACCTTCATAAAGAGTTGTCACTAGTTCAAAGTGAATGTACAACTGTTTCATTCAATAGCAGGTGAAGTTTAGAGCACAAATGAAGTTACTATATCTCTACAATAGCCAAGTCCAAAGCATTGTCAATATTTTTCTCTTGATGACACCCAAGCATATTGCTCATATTCTTATAGTTATTAAAATAATTATAAGTAAAAATAGATATCTCAGAATTAGCTGAAAAACTGTAGAATCTTAAAAATATTTGGATAAAATTATATATTTCAATCTTTATCAGTAGTCAATAAAAATAAAGAGAATGGGTAACTGTTATCAAAGTTATTATACATACGCGAAGTTTCAAAGTTATTCAGTCTACAAACATGTGGAAATTAAACTCAAAGATTCCGTTACATACATACATACAACCCAAGCTAATAATAATAGTGTAAAAAACTAAAAAAAACACGCTTTTATATTTTAAGCTTATATTTATTTTATATTTTTTAGTAAAATTCATCAATTAGTTTTTTGTTTACAAGAGCAAATCGCACACTAGCTCTGTCCCTTTCACTCTCGTAGAGGATCTATGAAAAGAATATATTAATCCTGGCGGCCCTAACAAGGATAATGGGAAATTGTTAACGAATTATTGTATTGTGATTGGTCCTTGAGATATATGCAAAGTTTCAAGTTAATCAGATGTTTAGAAACCAGTGAAAATCGTGCTCAAAGATTCCGTTACATACATACATACAACGCAAGCTTATAAAAACGTATTAAAAATAACAGTACTCAAAGAAAAAGGACATAAATGTAGCAAATAAATTATTATCTTTGATGAAATATTCTGTTTGTGTTATATTAATAATTTAGGTTTTAATTCAATTTTATTTTAGGGAAAACAATACACATTTAAAAACAATAAGATTTTTTTTATAAAAAATATTATAATGATAGAAAATATTTATTTATTTCACCGTCACTTCTATTTTTAACAAACGTCAATCATTTAAATGAAACTATGTAATATTATTCGGATATACTACGTGTGCTTTATGCTTTGATTTGACAGGATTCAAATCTCGTCTGTCCGTGATGACGGTTGCTGAAAAGTAACTGAAACGTCGGGTGTATGTAGTTTATATAAATAAAAAAGCATGCCTAATATAATAAGAAAATTATTAGTTTCATTTAAATGAATACTTAAGTCTTAGATCTCGTAATGTCAATCATCATTCTTATCATCTGTAATCAATCATCGTACATATGTATTTATCCTGGTAAATTATGAATCTCCATACAGTGTGTTGTTCCAGGAATGTCCCACAGGAGTACTGGATGAAGAAGCATTCAAGAACATCTTCTCACAGTTCTTTCCACTCGGTGGTGAGTTACCTTAGACATTTATTTCAATCTATTATCTCTCGTATACAAAGATACGAAGTCATTATATCTATGTATATAAAGAAAGTCGTGTTAGTTACACTATTTATAACTCTAACAACTGTACGGGTTTGGATGAAGATTGGTGGAGAGAAAGATTAGAACGTAGAAAGGACATAGGATACTTTACATGCGATTGAAAAATAAAATAAGTTGATCAAATACAAAATCTATCTACTGTATTTAAGGAACAGAGTTCGCCCGAACAAAGTCGCGGGCAAAGCCTAGTATTTTACTAAACCAAGAGTAATTTCATTTCTTTTCCATAAAATAATTTATTACATAAATGACCAACTTCAAAACAAATTAAATCCACCATCTGTGGAGTTCATTACAAGTTCAGTGTTCAAGGATTATAGTGACAGTCAATTTTCACATCTAAACTAATGGTATAAGAGTCATAGTCGCTTGAATTATAATCATAATGGCAGGATTTCATTTTAGCCCATTATTTAAATAAGTTTCAGCTTATTTTGTAAGAAAATTTATTTGTTACAGTCGAGGACACATTGGTATTACTTATTTTTTTATTTAAATTGCTATTCGCGGCAAAATTTTTGTTTGTTTTCACAAAGTCTACACATTTTTTAATATTAAGTAATTGCTTTTTGATATGAAGAAGCATATAAAGATTAATTTACAATTATATTTGTCGGCGTATGCGATAAAGCCTGGCTGTGGTCAGTTACTACAGCTCGAACATGTGCTGGCTCGACCGGGGAAGTACCACCCTCTCACAGAAGCTTTTAATGACTCCGTTTCATCTGATGAGTGAAAGAGATGGTTGCCATTTCCCTGTTCCCATGCCACTCTTTTCCTCAATAACGAAGGTTGGCAACGCATCCATAACATGCCTTATGTTGAAGATTTCCATGGGAATGTACTACTCCCATCAAGTAGGCAGTCTGTTCGTTTGCCACCTATCTCATAAAAAATATATATAGGCATTATACTTTTTAAAGCTTCTTAACTTTATATATATCGGCGCTATCAGCTAAAAACGGATGCGACATGAAAATAATTTGAGGCTGTCATCAATTATTATTAAACCTCATTAGTATTTATGATTATTGTTAAAAGTAAAACGAAATCAAAGGAGGATAGAACTATGTTTGAATCTTGTTATAAATATGACGTCTGGACGCACGACGACAGACTCCAGAATTGAGAATTCAGATTTCATTGAGTGCGTTTCATTGAAGTATGTAATTATGAAGAACCTTCGAGAAATACAGGAGCATTAAGAACAATTGAAGTTTCATTTTAAAATATCATGGAACGTGCTAGAAGAAGTGATATTTGTTAAATCAGCGAGGCTGGCGTCTCTCTCTATTAAAACAACGAATTTGTAATAAATCCGATATATACAATAAACAAAAGAAAACAGTATATTATTAAAAACAGTTGACTTTAGTCTTTTTTAGTCTTTTTAGTCTTTCCTAATTGATATAATTATACTTCTTCTCGTTTCTAAACCAATTTTGATATCCTTGTTTAAACGTATTTTTATTACAGATGCCACTCAGTATGCTCACTTCGTTTTCAACACTGTGAAACACAAACAGACAGGGAAACTTAATTTTGAGGTAATTTTAATATAATTCAATATTATATGTTTTAAATATTGCAAATATTTTATAGAGGACTAGCTCACCACTACACAGAACAACTTTTGTACTTCTTGCTGAACGATAGATTTCTCTAAATGTATAGACGAGAAAACGTTTAAATCAATTTTAATATTAAATTTTTCAATAATTCAGTTAGTAAATAAAGGAATATAAATACCGTTAAATTATTTTATGTATGCCAATTGTTGGCAAGTAGATAAAAAATAACAAGACCAACTGACAGATATTCACACCTCATCTTAATGATCACGGTTGTAAAGTAACTGAAACGTAGTCGTATGTAGTTAAAATAATAACGCGTAGTATATTAAAATATTAGTTTCATTTTAATATATTTGAGTTTATGTTAATAAACAAATATTAAACTGCCACATATCTGAAAATATATGTACAAATTTTATTAAATAATTCTCAATTAATCATAAAACGGCATATCTTCTAGAAACTTCTTTAACGGCATTTATTGCTTAATAAGTTGGTTGCACCTCAAGCTATATTTATCCTAAAAACACTAAATCAATATATTCATTATTGTCATAATATATTGAATATAATAATCAAAGGAATTCCTGGACACTTTATCCCGAGTCGCTCGAGGCTCTCGTCAGGAGAAATTATCCTGGATGTTCGCGTTGTACGACGTGGATGGTGATGGAAGGATCTCCAGAAGTGAGATGCTGTCTGTTGTACGAGCTGTTTACGAGCTGCTGGGACGAGCAGCTGCACCACCTGTGGATAAAGCCGCTGCTGAGGATCACGTAGATAGAATATTTCATGTGAGTTATACATTTATTTGTTTGTTTGTTTGTTTGTTTGTTTGTTTGTTTGTTTGTTTGTTTGTTTGTTTGTTTGTTTGTTTGTTTGTTTGTTTGTTTGTTTGTTTGTTTGTTTGTTTGTTTGTTTGTTTGTTTGTTTGTTTGTTTGTTTGTTTGTTTGTTTGTTTGTTTGTTTGTTTGTTTGTTTGTTTGTTTGTTTGTTTGTTTGTTTGTTTGTTTGTTTGTTTGTTTGTTTGTTTGTTTGTTTGTTTGTTTGTTCGTTCGTTCGTTTGTTTGTTTGTTTGTTTGTTTGTTTATGTACCACAAGAAAATAGTTACAATAAAAGTATTATAAAAGAAATGTGATGTACAAAGGATAACTTTTCCTTAAAAGAGATCTCGACCAGAAACAATTTTGATAGAGAAAATGAGAAGAGAAATGTGGAATAGGTACAATAAAATGAGAGAAGGAAAAAAGAAAAAGATTTATTTTATATGACAAGTATTTCTTCAAAATTTAGTTCATTTGAAGGTTTAAGATGCAAATTAGTGTTCATTAATGAGTACGCATATAAAGTTTTGATGTAAAAATCTACAAAAGTAATATATTTGTTTATTAAATTAATCACAAAATAAGACAAGGTGTCATTAATTTATTTTTAATTATATAAGCAGCAATAGTTATTCTACGATCTATATCTTGTAATAAATAACTTAATTACCATTACTTCACCTGTTAAAAGTTTAATATCAAATACTTCAATCCCTACCAATATTATAAATGCGAAATTAACTCTGTCTGTCTGTCTGTCTGTTACGCTTTCACGCCTAAACCACTGAACTGATTTTAATGAAATTTGGTGCAAAGATGGAGTTGACCTTGAGAAAGAACATAGGATAGTTTTTATCTCAGACTTTTGAAAGGTTCTCTTGGAAACGCGACATATCCGAACTCGACGCGGTTGAAACCGCGGGCGGAATGCTAGTTAAATAATATATGGGACAAATATGCATATCTTATTTTCGTTACTTAGCTTCATGGCTCGGTTTATTAGGTTTTGCATCTACCCTCACTTGAACGAAGACACTTTAAACTATCAAATTTATAAATAGCATAGAATATAGTCAGTGGTGTCCTAGTGGTTATAAGGCCCGCCTCTCATGCATGAGGGCGCGGGTTCGATCCTGGCAAGTACCAATGTGATTTTTCCTAGTCATATGTACTTTATAAGAGTATTTACATATCACTGATAAATGCATTCCCAAAGAGGGTTGATTTAAATAGAAATTGTTAGGAAAAATTATTTATAAGTAAAATATAATGAGTTTTAATTTATTCCAATAGCTGATGGACACAAACGCGGATGGTGTAGTAACTCCTGATGAGCTAGCCCGTTGGTGTGCCCGGGATCCCGCTCTACTCCGCTCTCTAGACACTTTGGACACAGTGTTGTGATCTTCAGACATACGCACAGACACTACCAGCTCTAGTGACACGTGCAACCATCAAGAACTGGATAAAACTAAATCTATCACATCATCAAAATCTATTGATCGTTCGGTCTCCAATAATGAAGTGATTAAAACGAGTGGCTTAAGTAAAGTTGTGGCTAACATCAAGCCGTCTCCCAAACATGTGGCTGTTCCTGTGACGTCACCAGTTCCAACCAGATCTGGAGGAACTCCTCCTCCTCCTCCTCCAAGGAATATCAAAAGGTACATATCAATTATTAATTAGACTTTATACAGGGTGACTGGTGAATTACTATCGATATTTGAGGACGTGATATTTGACGATCATATATGACAAAATAAAAATTAATATAACATAAATATTAATAAACTTCTAAGTAAAGTTAACCAAAAGTTGTGTAATTAATTACGCATCGTATGAACACCCTACAGATTAGGTATACACACACACTCACACAGACGCGGCGGCGGCATAGTGTTGTATCAGCACGCCGCCGCACGCGTCCACACTTGGAACGTGTACACACTTTATTTATTTATACGGAATTTTTGTCAGAAATTAAGTACCTATTTTTTATACATAATTCGAATGAGAATCATGTACCGAGTATTCTCCTTAAATATTGATAGTAATTCACCAGTCACCCTGTATAGTCAGTGGTGGCCTAGTGGTTAAAGGCCTGCGTCTAGTTGCCGAGGGCGCGGGTTGAAACCTGGCAAGTACCAATGTGATTTTTACAGTCATATGTACTTTATAAGAGTATTTAGACATCACTGACTGATGAAGGAAAACGTCGTGAGGAAACCTGGACTTATAGGTTCAACAATTATAAGTTTGAAATCACTAACCCGTCTTGAGTGAGCGTGGTGATTAATGCTCAAATCTTCTCCATGTGACAAAGAGGCCTTTGCTCAGCAGTGGGCTCTGATAGACTGATGACGACGTAGATTTGTATTACACTGTTCGTAGAATAATAAAATATTGTAATTAGTTTAATTTTATATCCCAGGACAAAATTAATTTTAAAATTATGCTTAGTTTTATAGAAAACATAACGTAAAAAGTTTAATTAATTTGATAGAATGTTTCTTTAGAATTTTACTGTAATTTTAACGAATTGGAGCAGCCTTTTTATGAATGCGTTTTGGCTTGTTTACCATTTTTATGTGTACAGAATTCTTAAGAAACTTTGGCTATTATTTTCATGTGAAATTAGGAGTATTTTAATAATTTATTAAGCAAATGGTGTACCTTTTCACTATAGCGTTACACTAATAGTAAATAGTTTAATTTCGTTATCTTAACAATATCGTTTTTTATGCTAATATGCATTTATAAGTCATAATATTTAAATAAAACTAATATTTTTGGATTACTACGCGTTTGTCATTATTTTTAACTACAAACTTCCTAATTTCGGATACTTAAAAATCATAATATTTATTTATGTCAAATCACAGTCCAAATTGTGTTTGTAACTGGAATTAAACAATTCTTTCTCCGCAGAGTTGATTCTATAACGTCTTCACAATCTACTACGCCTCCAGTCCCGACGCGGACCACGCACACAGTTAGTGTGAGTAAATATTAACATACAAGTAATATCAGCTGAAATCACACATAATTATCATAAACTATCTTTGCACCCGCAGCTTCGCCCGCGTGGAGTTCGGTTATATCGCGTTTCCAATAGAACCTTTCAAAAGTCTGGGATAAAAACTATCCTATGTCCTTTCTCAAGGTCAACTCTATCTCTGTACCAAATTTCATTAAAATCAGTTCAGTGGTTTAGGCGTGAAAGCGTAATAGACAGACAGACACACAGAGTTATTTTCGCATTTATAATATTAGTAGTGATTAAACAGATGAAAACTTGTAATAGTTTAAGATAGGTTATTGTATTTCTTAATGATCTTTTTAAATAAACATAAGTCTTCTTCTACACTCTTTGTTTACAACATTTGCCTTACTTATTTTGTTATATTGTCCAAAAAAGATGTTTTGGTTTTCTTGTCATACATAAAAACTACTCTCCTGTAAAGTTTCATATAAATTGGTCTATCAGTCCAGACGTAGTAATCAACATAGTAATCCAATTAAAGGAATTATGGTTGGATAATAATAATTAATAAAATTCGAAATAATTTCAGATAACAGAAGACAGAGTAGAACAGAAGAAGAAATCTAAAAGACGCGTCAGTAGAACAGCTCGATGAAGTCATAGCTCGTAAAAGTTTAACATAGGGAACAAAATATAACACTGTGCTTTACACGCAATAACATACATCTTAAAGACTTAAAAAGTTTTAACTTTATCTTTATAGAATTCACTGAATTTGCTGAATTTTAAATATTTAAGAATAATGCTATTCAATCTTTTATCTTTTATCTTTCCTTCTATCTTTAACTTCACTTCAAATACCGATTCAATATTGCATGCGTTTAAATTTGACAATTTTGTATTTCAAACTTTCCTCTGATATTAATATAGATATATATTCGACTTTTGTTATAATAATGTAGGACTATTTTATTAAAACGCTCAAATCAATTCTCAAGCTTTTTTCTTCTTATGTCGTCTAAATTAGCCAAAACTAATCACAATATGTAAGACAGACCCTGGCTAAAACTGGGAAATTGCCAGGCAGAAGATAAAATATTTATCTATTTATTCGTAGTGATTTGAACTACAGGTCCAAAATGATGCTATTATTAATAAATTTAAATAACTTTTTCTAGTATTAACTAAGTATTAGAGTTTCGTCAATAATAGCTACTTGGTGAAAGCTTTCTTTAAGTCGATAATATTTCTACATTGTTATCTAGTTTAATAATTTATATTCAAAAGAAACAAATTCAAATGCTTTTTGTGAAAACATTAGGCTCTTGATATTTACAACTAATAATAAAATATCTAACTAATAAATAAGTAATTAAGTCTCAACTTCGAGGTGATTAAAATCTTATGCTGAATTTTTAAATCACTATTTTTCTTCACTGTCTTTTAAAATACTTAGTGATTTTTCAAATTTTTCTCCGAGTCTTAATCTCTTTCTCTTTAGATTAAAACAGTATCTTCTTCTATAATAAAATTACAAAACATATCTTTAATTTTTAAACTTGTGCCAATTCCGGTGTCAAATGCTCACTTATCTTAAATTAATGAATTAGTAAGAGATGTTGTTTTAAAAGACATTATCTTCGAGTTTTATCTTTATCTTTAGTAATAATCTTTTATCTTTATTTCTACCTTTATACAGGGTGACTGGTGAATTACTATCGATACTTGAGGACGTGATATTTGACGATCATATATGACAAAAAAAAAATAATATAACATAAATATTAATAAACTTCTAAGTAAAGTTAACCAAAAGTTGTATAATTAATTACGCATCGTGTGAACATCCTACAGATTAGGTATACACACACACACACACATACGCGTGCGGTGGCGTGGTGTTGTATCAGCACGCCGCCGCACGCGTCCACACTTTGAACACTTGGAACGTGTCAACACTTTATTTATTTATACGGAAATTTTGTCAAAAATTAAGTGCCTATTTTTTTTACATAATTCGAATGAGCATCATGTACCGAGTATTCTCCTTAAATATTGATAGTAATTCACCAGTCACCCTGTATATTCATTTCTAAGTATAGATTGAGTAAGATGTATTCCTACTAACATAACATATCTGTCAGGAGAAGCTATATTGATGAGTAATGATTAACGTGGTAGTTGAAGTCTGTATTATCAATATTTGTACTACGGGACTGTATGTATGTCTGTATACACTCCAGCATCTGTATGTGACTTGGTATAACACGATGGAATTAATTTGTGTATGTTCTTTGTTCAATCTTTATTTTATACAAACAATATATTTCTTGTTGTATTTAAGATGTGATTCTGTTTTCCTGTTTAATAAAAATCTTCTATTTCGTCAAGATATCGGTGTTTTATTTGAACAAAGTTCTAAATCATTTTGTTTGTTTCGTTTTAAAATATTTAACGTATTCTGGTATAAGTGGCTTGCACACCATAGATACAAATAAGCCCAATACCCTACCTATATAACAACTAAACTATATTGTTTAATTCTTACTCACATACTTTTAATCATACATTACGAAATACAAATGTTAACACATTTAAAATACCTTTGATTCACGATTAAATGGAAATATATTTTCTACTTACTCTAACCCAAATCTTTGTGCCCACTCCTATGTGGTATTAAAGGCTTGAAAGTTCTTTAAGATGAAGAGATGTTCTCTTCATCCAAAGACACTGATGAATGTGATTAGTCCGAGAGCTGGCAACAATTTTTGGGTAGGTATTTGAGGCAAGCTGAAAACTTGTCCTATACCTCTCCTACTATACCCCAATACGAAACTGCAGACCTGGCTGGTGAGTAGCGGGGCTAACTCAACCCCTAAATTTTTAAAAATATTATTTTTTAATTTCGAAAAATGTATTTGAGGCAATATGCAATTTTTATATGTTGTAGTTTAATATTTAAAGAATAAAAAAAAAAATATAAGCCAGATGATTTAGTCGGGATTTTAAAATTGCCAGACGCGTGCAAAAACGAGCGTATATCGGCAGCTGTCTGCGTCCTTGCTTGCCGCGTTACTATTGGCTCTGACGAGGTCACGTGACATATAATAGCCACGAGGTTTTCAATCGGAATTTTGGAGTAAAAAATATAAAATTTTATGAATTTCTGCTAAAAACGGTTTATATAAAAATGATTGTGTTGATTTATGTGTGTTAAATGGATATATTTATTGTGTCATATTTTTTTAGCATATATAATTTAAAATTTATACATAATTGAATATTTTTTTCACGTGAAAATTAATAATGGCTAACGTATTAAATAAAGAAAGTAACGATTACAAAAATAGACAGCTGCCGATATACGCTCTCCCTCACGCTACAGCTTGTCTATAGCGCTACGCACTCACACTTATATATAAGTTGTTGGATCACCTGGCAGGTAGAAAGACCCACAGAAATGACCTGTCTTTTTGAGAATCTTATTTTTTAATAATAAATAATATCCTGTTAAAATTTCAAGTTGCCTCAAATACATTTTTTGTATTTTTTTTCAAAATGTTTTTGCACGCGTCTGGCAATTTTAAAATCCCGACTAAATCATCTGGCTTATATTTTTTTTTATTCTTTAAATATTAAACTACAACATATAAAAATTGCATATTGCCTCAAATACATTTTTCGAAATTAAAAAATAATATTTTTAAAAATTTAGGGGTTGAGTTAGCCCCGCTACTCACCAGCCAGGTCTGCAGTTTCGTATTGGGGTATAGTAGGAGAGGTATAGGACAAGTTTTCAGCTTGCCTCAAATACCTACCCAAAAATTGTTGCCAGCTCTCCTACTAGATGGGAAAAGTAGCCGAAACGTCGGGAGTATGTAGTTTGTAATCAAAAATAAAAACGCGAAGTAAAATCCGAAAATATTCGTTTCATTTAAATGTAATGGGTTTTTAAAGCTTCGAGAAGAAAATGTGTATGAAGATGACTTTTTTATCTCATGAAATAAATAAAATATATTAAAAAATATTGTTTAAATCAGTTTGTACACTAATAGTTAGCAACAGGAATTTTGAAGTAGGTTTAACCTGTATCTCAAAATACACGCTCCTCCTCCTGGATATACTCGTACATATATCTATTAGCTGTAGCGTGTGCAGGCGACGGCTAGTTGAAGGACTTAATTATGATGATAATAATAAGGTCTAGTTTACGGTACCTCAGAGATTGTACCAGGGCACCAGCAAATCCACGAAAGTTGAATCTTCATGTGAATTACTCCTTGTTTATTATGCACTCCTATTTTTTCACCAGAATTTAAGTTTCAACAATTTTATTTTAATTTCGAATTAACAAAATTATACATACAGTTTGGGTACACGTTCGTACTCTAAAGTTGTCCGGAGGGCAGGGGAAATGAACGCAGTGTCTAACAAATATATTTATTATAAGAAGACTGCATTACCATTAATAGTTGATAGTCAACATATAAACATATTGTCAGTAATGTTCCAACTTATAACTTTTATAAACCTGTTTGAGGAAGCACTTGCTCCTGAATCATGAATGACGAGTGTTACGTTCTGTTCTCACGACATGAACACTGATGGTCGTATTAAGAGAACTCTTTGTGTATTAAAGTTTAATTATTAATGATTCCTTTATATCTTCTAAGTATTCTTGTCTTATCATAGTTTGTATATTTCATATTCTTTTCTTATATTTACTAAACGTTACCGAACTCTCTCTCGTCTCTTAAAGTAATACTATCCAAAGTCAACTTCAATATAAAACAATTCAATGAACATCAACCAGTTTCAAGTCATCATTGAAGCAGCTTCACATCGTCTGATGGAGCTTCAAGTTTCTTTATCACCAGAACTCTTCCTCCCAGTCTGTCCAGGTCTAAGTCTCGTCAGTCTACAGAACTGATTCCTCTCAATGAAGTTACAGACTGATAGTTAATATTTAACTGTAACAAACGTTCGTTTTAACTGTATTATTGAACGTTCTAACTGACAAGTTGACCGTTTGACTGTTTGTATTATGTATAAATATTATCTCAATTATTACGTACGATCTACATATTAGAAATGAATGAACATCGCCGGGGATTCATCGTTGTATGTATAAAATATATAACGAGTGACGCCGCTGACTCCGCGGAACGAACACCAAGCCGTGTGAACCAGAAGATTCCTGATACACACAAGCTATGGAATGGTATTGCTATCCTAACATCGGGTCAATCATGTAGTCTTAGGTGTTGGTTATAAGTTTTAATATGTAATTCTTATTATAATATACCTACATATAAGTATGTTTCGTAGTTTTCCTTCAACCTCTGGTTGCCACATTATGTAATTCAATATAAAAGTATAAATACTAAGATAATAAACGTGATATTTATTTCAAAACACAACAAATATACATTATTTTTTTGTCACATTTAATATTGTTCACCTTCTCGTGAAAGGAAAATGATTATTTTCGTTTGAAGTCTGTATTTTTTAATATATTTCTGTTTCATTCTAACATCCCCAGTTATTTCTCTCACGTTATTATTCTAAGGACGTCTTAATCTGTCTAAATCCAGACTAATGAGATACATTTAGCTCCACGCCAGTGATGTAGGGTCGACGAAGATAAATTAAGAACAACATTAACAAGTAATGTACGAGTACAGAGCTATCATGAGATGAAATGATTCATACCTACTACTCTCATACAACAGAATGGTCACTGGTTTATTTTCTAAGGTTTCTATATTAGATGAGTTCAAAAATCCTTTACAACCACGACACAAACATTATATACTCCACATCGTAGCTACTGGTTGATGCAGCTTCATCCTTAAAGACTCGTGTATAATAAAACGAACATCTCAAAGTAACTGCAATGCATCTCATGTTAACGATACAGTCAGACGAAACACATTACAACTGACTCCATAGCTATGATACAGTGTTATAAGGACGAGAGGTTACACTGATGTTGAACATGACCTGTTATACTTTACACACATTAAACAACTCCTCATTCAGAGCTGATGCTGAAGGGATCCCGTCTACAATCATCTATCAATGTTATAATCGACTCAGTAACACGTCTCTGTTAATATATCTCAGAGCTCGTCCTTACAGCGTCACAGTGAGTTCTCTTCAACTAACTACAAGTGTTCTGACCTCGTTCACTCTTTGTGTGTGTTAAACGTAACACTCTCACTGTCCACAGCTCACAGTACGGTTATTGTGACTCAAATATGTACTAACATACTTGTTAATTATAAAATGATAAATGACAAACAATTGTGTATTTATTAGTAAATAATGATATTTGAGACTTCGCTGGGTTTATATACACAAAGCAATTAATATATATGTATATGGTTCATAATATTTTAATGTGAATATTATATTCTTGTAGTTTATATAATAAATAAAACAAAACTCTCCTGTTCAAATATAATAGTTCAAAGTGTTTAATATAAGTCAGTACAGTTCTCTGTATTCCCCAGACGATCGTTTCCCGAGCAATGTTATAACAATCACAGTTGGATCAGACAAACCCTGAGCACATTACATGTATGACCTCGAGGTAGGCGTTTGGGAAATCTTAAACGAAAATCTTAAATTTGTATTTCCCCGAGGAGTGTTTTCTATTCATTCTCAATATTGAGACGGACTTTTCACTCTATTGAGAGACAACGTCATATTAACTTTGAAATAATATAATAATGAATAAAACAATGTTTAATAAAAAAAAAATATTTAAGATACTTAAAAATTTTGTAGATTCACCTTATCTGTTACAAAATATATGCTTTAGATGTCCTAAAATTAATACGCGTCATCTGTTCCTTTTTCATTTACCTATCACAAATACCAAATATGCTCAAAATACTTTTATTTTTCGTGCCTGTGATAAATATAATAAATGTTTTTCCAATAAAGATTTTATAATGTACTTACTTAAACAAAAAATAAAATAAGGAAAGAAATTAGTAATGCCTGTAAATTATAATTAATTTATTTTTAAATTATTATTATTATTATTAATTTATGTTCATCTCATGATTTTTTTAAAAATAATTGTCTTAATTCTCATTGATCATATTATTATTTTGATCCAAATGAACTTGTAATCGGTGGAAGCTTGGTTGGTTTGTGTATTTTAATATTGTAATACTGTTTGTTTCCCAATAAATTGAATAAAAATAAAATAAATAAAAAACTTTATTCGTTATATATATTTCTATTTAAATCATCCTCACAAGTTCAAGGGTCGAAGCTCTTTTCCTTGTGACATAGATTGAGTATTTCCATCAAACACATACAAAATATAAAACAAAGCCGATCACATCTCCATTCTGTTTCCAGTCCACAAACACAATGACATAAAAGTTTCCATTGTAAGAACTGCAGCGCGTTTAACTGTGAACGTTTGTAAATTGATCAATTCACGTAATAACGTATGTGTGTCACGTTTGTAACTACGTGATGTTGTGTAATGACTGTGTTCAGGGCGAGTACAAACTACGGGAACAGATCTCGACGTGATTTGATGCTGATTATGATGAGGGAGAGAAGTTACTGTTCGGGGAATTTAGAAGAAGAAGGATGAGAGGAGAGGATAGAGATTAAGAAGAGAAGATCTGGATCTAAAGAAGAATGTGTGTTAGAGAGACAACAGAAGGATCACAGAAGGAACAGCTCCTGACTGACCTTCATTGATGAAGTGGCGACATCAGAGAGGAACCAGTCCCAGGGCGAGGAGGAGTCTTCATAACAAACATACGACGAGATTATTGTGAATAGAAATTATTAATATAATGAGGAATACATAAAAATATGAAGATATATTGTTTGGAGACAGAAATATAGTTCCCATACTCGTTGGACATTGATAGTTGACACTGAGAATAGAACAGAAGACACTGATGAAGACTCAGCTGTTATACATACAACATATTGTGTGTCTGTCTGTAACTGAGATATAAATATAGAAAACATGTCACTTCAAACTTATTAATGAATGATTAATATGAAAACTTCAAATATTATTTTCGTACCTTTAAAACGATTCTAAAGAAAGAATTGTAATATATTTGATAATTATATATATTTAATATTAATAAAGAGTTATTTTTTGAAGGTTTTAGTTTCTATTGAGACACAATCTTCAACATCGTCTAGCCTAAATCAAAAGACCTTTAAACTTACATTGAATGAACCACAGTTTATGATAAACAATATTTATATTATTTTGGATGTAATAACTGCAATTTAAACCTAAATATATATATATATATTGTTAGAAATGAAAAACATGGTAAGATTTTTAAAAAGAAGCGGTCGTCGGCCAAGGGTCAATTAATTAATATTCGAGACTAATTAGAGCAAAGGTTCTTCTCTTGACAATAGTTGAGAAGAAAAAGTGTCCGATTGTCAGTAATGGCGCTCTTTATACAGGTGGCTTTAGGGTTGCCAGTATAATAATTATTTATTATTTAACAATATATATATAGTACAGTAAGGTTAGCTAGTTCTCCTCGTTCATATAAACGTTCACCAAAAAGTGAATCACGTTTTCAGAACCCACTTCAATATACAGCGCGCGGTTTAAACCGAGTCTAACAAACTGTATCCTGGCTGGAGGCCAGCGCGGTGTAACAATGAACATGAGATACAAAATAAATGAAAACAAAGAATTACTGAAGTGATGTTAACTATTAAATAATGTTCTTGACTCACTCACCGCTTCCTGTGGTTTAGTTTTGATCAAACACACTCCATGTACTAGTGTACATAAGACTGACACGGGACATATTGTGTGTTACAATTCAATTCAGACCTGATTGTGATCCTCAGTTATTGAGTTAATGCTTGTCATTCAAACATTCAGACATACATGATAGTTAAACACGAACCCTCTCTCTGTAAAGTCGGTTCATAACGTCGTGTTTCTCATATCAGTGTGTTGTAAGAGACCAGTCAACATCACTCTCTATACAACATGTTCTGTTCAAGACTTTCTTCATGACCATATCTTTGGTAATGTCGTGATAAAATAATTCCCTATCGTATAATATACTGAGCAGATGTTGATGACACTCTTCAGTAATATAGTTTAGTCTCTACAACAACATATATTCTACAATTAATATCATAATTCCGTCTATATCTCTCTCCATCTCTGTGTAACAGTTACATTATGTTGTCAGTCTCTGAACACAGACTGCACCTGTCTCTGTCTGTATGTTATCACGTCTATTATTTAAACACACTTCATATATTTTTATCACAGAGGCAAAGTCGCGGGTAAAAAGTAGTATGTGATTTATTAAATCCACATAACTCGTTCTTCTCTGAACATGATACTTAAAACAAAATGGACAAATCCGGGACTTAAAACTAGTTTAATATAATTTAAGTTATATTCAAACAAGTCTTTCATACAAGTGAGAGGTCTAAAGTCATTCATATTATAATATTTTTAAAGTCACTTCCTTAAAAGCTTCCTCTTAACGTTAAACGTTTCTCATTCTTTGTGTTTTTGTTCAAAGTACAAATGAATCTTTGAGTGTTGCTGAACAGAAGCTTGTAATACAAAGAAGTGTCTTGAAGATAATTGTGAGGAAAATATAAATATTAAACGCGGAGCATTAAAACGACACACACACACACACATACACACACACACACACACACACACACACACACTTACTCCCAAAAGATAGACGACAGTCTTAAGAAGCGATGTATGTTCATATAGAATGATTGATTGTTAATTAAAACTATATTCTTTATTACAATTGTTCTCTATAGTAATACAAGAAGTATATACATCCCTCTGAAGGTAATAAGTAAGGTTTAATATTATAGTTACATTAACTGAGTCTCTTGTACCGCGTCACTAACTAACTGTGGCCAGACAAGTCTTTATATGAACAACGATCTTGTATATACACTCTCAATGTACACAGACTGATAGATTGACTGAGAGGTGGCCTTGATAGAAGATACATAAATTAATATTAAAAATAATAGAACTATTATTAAAAGTGTTTCCAATAAAAACAAAAATCATTAACATGTACTTCGATGTCAATATTTAATACATTTTCATTTGATTTCTATCAAACTTAGTAACAATTGATTCACGTTAAGTAAGTATTGACAGTAGTTGTGAGTTGTGATCTGTTCATTATATCCCTACTAATATTATAAATGCGAAAGTAACTCTGTCTGTCTGTTACGCTTTCACGCCTAAACCACTGAACTGATTTTATTGAAATTTGGTACAGAAATATAGTTGACCTTGAGAAAGAACATAGGATAGTTTTTATCCCAGACTTTTGAAAGGTTCTCTTGGAAACGCGATATAACCGAACTTCTAGCGGGCGAAGCTGCGGGAGAAAAGCTAGTAGATATATTATTCAAGAAATGTAAGGAATGATTTGATGAGGATAATACGAAAAGAAAAGAAAAACAATATATTAAAATACATGTGTTTTATATAGTAGAGGAAAGGATTCAGTTGAGTTGTAATTAATAACTTAAGATACTTATCACTCACTTAAACTGCAGTAACTGACTCACTCATCTAAGAATATATATTAAAAACTACTGAACCCTTTGTGATGTAGTTTATTTATTAATTATGGATAACTCTGTGATAGTTCGTGGGACTAATTTATTCTATAAATATCTAAACTGTGGATCTCGTTACGAACACGAGAGATGAGTTAAAATTAACGTAAAGTAGGTTCAATATAATTTACACGTTTTAATTATCAACCACAATAACAGATATATAATAATAATATATAACATATAGTGTTATATATGTCAGTTATATTATATGTCTCGTATATATGTTATCTTCTTATCAACGTCAGTAATAACACCCAGTCTTTGTTTCATCCTATCAGTGTGTCACCCGTCACTGTCTACACACAGACACACACGCCACAGTCAGCTTATCAAGGACCTGTCTGGACGAGGAACTTTACAATACACACATGAAACACAACGTGGATATTAAACAGGGTTTGTTGAGGAACAGGTCGTTACTGTGTGGAACAGATCTTGAGACTCTTCGTGTTTCAGAGCGTCTTAACCGACTCAGTTAATGTTAGTCAGTTAATATAAGTAAGGTTCAAGTTATCCTCACAGCCGCTCCGTCTCGTACCTGTGTGTTCACTTCATTAAGAACCTTTCTCTCTGTATATCAACAACTCCTGGTCACTCGTATTATCATCTTCAACATGTTCCGTCTCCTCCACTCTTGTATAATATAATATATATTTAATATGAACCGTTCTTTCAGCACCAATCTTCTTCTCCATCTCTTCTCATGTCTATATCAGTCAAAGATTATTATATTTAAGAGTATAAGTCACTTGTCTGTCTGCAACTCCCAGCCTTCTACATTAAATCTCAAGAGAAAATACTTTAAAATACCTCGACCTATGTCTCAACATTTCCTTTACTATCTTTTAACAGTATTTTTCTCTTTTGACAATATCTTAGTATATTAAAGAGTATTTCATCAGCGAGCGTCTAGTACACGAGACGTTTAGTTCAAATTAATATTTTCGTAACATGACAGAAAAACTTCTAATAATAGTTTTCTTATTAATTTTGTACCAAAATCATTTTAATATTTCAGTTTTTTTATATAAATTGAAGTCTTAATAGTTCTGGAAGCCACCTCATTAATCCAAAGTTAAGGTTTATACTCATTTGAAATCCAATGTAATGTTAAATGTAGGACGCTGTACAACATACAGTATGTGAAGAAGATCATGATGAAGACCTGGTGTGTCGAGGAATGGTTGGTTGATAGGAACTGTGTCTTGTATGGAGACACGTACATATGATACATGAGTTATCTTCTGTCTGTAAATATATAACGAGTGACAGAAGATTGGTAATAAAGAAGATTATACATATATTGTGAAGAAGAATCACTTCAAGTTTTATTAATAAGTTGGACCTTCGCAGAATAAAGATAATAAGATATCTGTACATTGAAACGAACACAAACCATTGATGTTAAATATGTTAATGTGTCATGGATAAGACTGTTGAAGTATTCACTTGAAGTTACTTTAAAAGTTGAAACTTTTAGACATAATTCAATTCTGAATGCAATATTTTCATTCTTCAGTTAAATAAAACACTCTTATTGTTTAATATAAATACATCATTATATCTATTTCTTGAATACAAACTAAACTCAAGTTGTGGTTGAGAAATACATGAATTAATTGTTTTGTAAATCAGAAGAAATATTATTATAAACAAATATGAGAAGCGAATATTTTGTTGATGGCTTACATCGTTTAAGTTCCTGTCACACCTGAGAGGCTGGCGAGTGAGGAAGATGATGGAAAGAGTCTTCATCATCAGAGACTGAACACTTGACGAACATTATATTGAAGGGGAGACGACGAATAATACGGATAAAATAACTTGCTATAACTGGAAATGATGAGGTTTGAAAATAAAGAAATATAAATATGTTAAAAAGTAATTTTCTCAAATAATTGTTTGAGTTTTTTATTCGTAATGAAGACTTTAAGACTGAGTTATACTAACAAGAGTGATCTGAACAGA